TCATCCTGATGTTACACTCATCGAGACCTTTCATTTGAGTACCCACATCAATTTTTCATATATTTATATATATTTATATATATATGAATATATAAAAAATATATCAAAATGCATGTGCGTACTCAAATGAAAGCTCTTGATGAGTGTAAGATCGAGATGAGCTTATATCTTTAAAAACATCAATAGTTAAGAAAGTACAGTACAATTTAACAAAAGTCATTATTTAATATAGCAAAATTTTATTTATTTATAGTTCACAAGAAATTAAAATTCTTTTTTTTTAACCTAAAATTTTTTACAGTCTGTAGATGTTTAAATATTTCACCCATTTATAAATTACTGTAAATACTGTGGATTAAATTTATTTAAATTATTTAGTTTTATCAAAATATATAATTTTGTTCACCATAAATTTTTGTATCCACTGTTAAACCCTGTCGCTGATGATTGATTTATTAAATTAATATGCCAAAATAATTAATTGTTATATTTTATAATTAATCTAGGTGGTATCCTCAACCAACGGAGAACTGGCAAATGACGATCCGACTGCTGGACATTCAAACACACCAATTACTGCACCGCAGGAAGTGGAGATGATCGATGAAACCAAGTTAGTACTAATTACATTGTAATATTTACGAGCACTGCATGTCAGTTACCTCATGTGTAAATTATTACTTATGTCTATTTTTAATTTTTACCTTAACTATAACATATTTTTTTTTCACTTTACAAACTCTGAAACAATAACTCAAAAAATCAATTACTTTTATAATTTTTCCAGCCCTGTTAATCTTACAAAAGCGAGAAAAAAGTGTCCACGGTGTGGAGTTGATCGTGTTTTATATAAAAGCACTAAAAATATTTCAGACTCACTTAATATTCCCAAACAATCCTCAAGACCTGCAAATGATTTTGTAGCACGATACAAATATCTTCTCAATATTTCCAAGCTTAAAAAACAATAATAATTATCATCACAGCTCTTTAATTACTACTCATCAACAGAGACAAACGATTTTTCACCTTGACAATAATCATGTACTTATTTTAATTATAAGACTCGACTTATTTTTTACAAAACTATTTGTTAAATTTTTGTTGTAAATAATTACTAACTTCGGTAAATTAATTATAATTTAAGGAACTAATCAATTTTAGATATCTGTTTTTTATTTGTTCAAAATAGTGTATCAAGTGTTTAATGAAAAGAAAAGATTTAAAATAATTGTTAAATAGTGTGGCAACTTGAAGCCGATAGATAAGCCATTGTAATAGGTGTGAATCACGCATAAAATTAACCGAGTTTTAGAAAATGTAATAAACATTTAGATAACGTCTTCGTGCTCAATAACTTTTATTAAAAATTTTTTCTTCAACTTCTATCATTTATTATTTAATTAATACAATTATACTTATATTATTTCACTCTTAATTAACTATTAAGTATTAGGGTGGCGCAAAAAAAAACCGACTATTTTTTTTTTTGAGTCTCGAGTGAAAAAATGTCAGTTTTAAGAGCCCTCTCCAAAGAACAGCTCAAAAAAAAATTTTTAAGAGGTCGCTCCAAATTTTTTTAAATTTCAAAAATCGAAATTTAAAAAAAAAATTTTTTTTCTCGTTACGTCATTTTATAGACCAAAAAAAATAACTTCCTGAAAGTTTCAATTCAAAATTTAAATTTTGAAAGGTCGCTCATAATTTTTTTTAAATTTCAAAGTCAAAAAATGCTAATCCAATTAAATAGTCACTGATAAATTAGAAAAAAATTATGAGCGACCTTTTAAAATTTACATTTTGAACTGAAACTTTCAGGAAAATCTTTTTTTTTGGTCTATAAAATTATGACATTACGTCAAAAAAAATTAAAAAAAAAAAAAATCGATTTTTGAAATTTTAAAAAATTTTGAGCGACTTCTTAAAACATCAAAAACTAACATTTTTTCACTCAAGACTAAAAAAAAAAATCAGTCGGTTTTTTTGCGCCACCCTATTAAGTATATTTTAACAAATATTAAATTTATTATTATAATAATTAAAATTAAAACTATAAAACACAGACTTAACTGTACTTGTACACTCGTCAACCTTATTCCCGGGTCGACAAATTTTTTCATAACATAACAGCAACGGTATGCCCCATTAAACTTTATCTTGAAGCATGTCTCAATACAAACACATCTATCTATCTGAGTAATGCGATGCAATATAATGTAACAAACATAAGGTGTATGTATGCATGTGTGTATTTATAAAGATTGAAAAATAATGAGAAGCGATTCTAAGTCCTATTAGTGTTTGCTTTATTTCCAGATGCTGCTGCTTTTTTAAACGAAAGAAGAAAAAAAGTGGACGACAGAAATGACTGCCTGTTACTGTTGGGCTCGGGGGAACGGTACAGTGCGCGGATATTAGTGCTGGGGATAATAATGTTCCAAGAGCTACGTTAACTGGAGCTAGTGCTGGAGGTGGCAAACGGTGTGGCAAAGTCACCGAAGACAACGGAGATCCTGAACGCGAGGCTGTTAAATTATTGAGAGACGTCAGTCGTTCTGCGTCCAGGGATTCCGTACTGCAACATACTACTGTTACGACTACACCCACGCCTACGCCACCGCCATTGTCCAATTAAACAACAAGAACAACAACAACAACAACAATACAATCATCTTCATAGCCACTGATACTTTACCACGCTATACATTTATTTTTATCATCTTCATTATTAATTATTAATTAGTTAATATTATTATTTTTAATATTATTGATACATACGATTAATTATTACAATTAATATTAATATTATTATTATTATTATTATAAATTATAATTATGTCATCTTCATCAATCGTCGGTGTCTACAGTGTAATTGACATTATCAAAATTCGTCATGTCTATTGTTGTATTATTTAATTAATGAAATATCGATCAATCTTGAATTATTAATAGGACATTACATAATTCATTCACGCAATTTATTTAATTCATTAACTACAATTAATGTTTTAATAAATGTATATGGGAAGAACAAGATGACACTGGATATCATTCCAGATTATACTGAGTGAAAAAAAATTTCAGATACTAAATTCACTAGCTACTGAATCCCGGAAAAAATAGATGACATTTAAGTTAGACTATTTTTTAATTTTATTTAATAAATTTGTTATAAAAAATTATTATTAAAAAATTACATTTTTAATTTTTTCAAAATTTCTACATGTCAATTTTTTTTTTCTAATTTTTTTTGCACTAATTTATTTAAAAAAAAAATTTTTTTAAATATCTGCTAACTTTATTGTCATAAAAAATAGACCCGGAAAAAATTTAAACTTATGAAAAATTCATATTATTTCATTAAAAGTATTATAAAATAAAAATAAAAAGGCGCGCAGTAGCCTATCGGATCCGGCCCTTGCTACCAAAGCATTGGACCGGGTTCAAATCCGGCGTACACCAATGAATATTTTCAATATTTAAGTGTATTATTTTGCTCAGCCCAAGAAATACAAACGAGTTCCAATCTCAAAAGTGTACCCCCTACCGTAGTCGCTCATGACCTTAGTAGTTTATGCGATTTTAAACAAATTAAAAATAAAAAAAAAAAAATAAAAATAATAATAATGATAATGAAAAATTTTTTTTTTATAACAAAAAATGGAGCGATCACTCGAGGTACTTCTTTTTCAGGAAAATTATGGGTGTGATATACAATTATTATTATAATTTTTATTTCATAATAATTTTAATGAAATAATATAAATTTTTCATAATTTTAAAATCCATTTTTAATCCAGATATCATTGAGTATAATCTGGGATGATATCCAGTGTCATCTTGTACTTTCCGTGTACACTGAAAAAAAAAAAAAATAATTAATGAAGATTTAAAGGAATATGCAATAAAAAAAAATGTTTTTTTGCATAGTATATTCTCAGGAGTAAATACAGTAACGAGGGCGGGGGAATTGAGAACTTTGTTCATTAAAATATGAAATTGATATGTGTTCGACATTAATAAAGTTTTGCAGCTTTATAGAGGAGCAATCAGCAGCATTTTAGTATAAATAAATTTTAACAAACTGATAATTTTGTAATTTAGATATTTTAAAATAAACAAATAAAATGCACTATCTAAAAAAAAAAAAAAAATATGTACCATCTAATATTATAATCACAGATAAGAGCCAGACAAATCTATGGCAGACATTTTAAATGTACTTAGTCATCTAGATAATTAAATTGAAAATATTTAATTTCTACATATCTGCAAAGTCTGTTATAGGTATGTCTAAAAATAATTATCGCAGTAACCAAAAAGTAAAAATGAAAAAAAAATTAATGAGTAAATAAGTAAAATTAATAATAAATGATAAGACAAAAAAAAATGAATTGAATAGCTCTATGAATTGTCTTTTTTGCTGTTGCATCCTCCTATTTACAAAATGATGATATCGTTTCATTAAAATTAAATTCATTAATATACACAGCTTGAAAAATAACAACAATAATGTGTGATGATGTGTTGTATTGTGTATTGTGTGTATTTAAATCTCGGTGAAAGTGAAAATGAGCGAATGAGTTATTGAGTCACTAGCGATTGCGTGCTGTACAGTTTTGTTGAGTGTTTTACGCGGAAAAAAAAAGTAAATAAATGAAAAAAAATACAAATGTCATACTATCTGTGAGATATGTTGTATGATTAGCGATTACTGGTTACAATATATTAAACAGATACATATTATTTCTACAACTACTATAATTATTATTGTAAATTATTATTATTAAAAATTCTTCCGTAAAATCGTCCATTGTATGATCTCTGATAGGATAAATGTCTTTTTATTTTTATTTATTACTGCACTCTTATACAAAATTAGGACGTACATAAATGGAAAGTTGAAAAAAAAGTTGCAGTAAAAATTACGTGGAGCCATTTAATTATTTTAGTGGCTATTTTTGACGTATTGACATTACATTACATTCAATTGAATATTTTAATTAATTTTTGTTTTTATTTTTGCCGTCTATAAAAATGAACTGTATTAAAAAACTTTTCTAGTTGTATTTTTAAAATAAATAATAACATTTTTTCACATATTTTTAAACCACGACTGACTTCTGGTTAAGTTAGGTTGTGAAATAATCATTCAAGTGTTTTATTATTTTTAATTACACAACAAAAAAAAACTACTTATTATTTTTATTTTTAATTATCTGTTGTGAATAACATTAATTGTAAAGTTATTTATTGTATTTACGGATGATTGGGTTTTTTAACAAAATCAACAAAGTTACGATCCACGTAAATGCCTTGTTATTGAAACATTAATTTTAAAAGTAAACATTAATGTTAAAAAGTGAAATCGGGATAATCGATAAGTAATTATTAATGCAAATAAATTTTATCAGTGATAAAGTTATTAATTAAATTTAATTACACTTGAGCTTATTTCGGCAATCGCCAAAAGAACCAGAAAAAAATTTATAATGATTTTTTTACCTGATGACCATTTTTCACCAGCGTTAAATATTTATTAAATGTTGAAACACTTGATATAAGTATAGAAAAAAACAAATCCGACAAAATAATGAATTAATAAATAATAAAAATGAAATATTGTCCAAGTCAATTTTGTAATTTAATTAAAAGGCGATGATAATTGTTCAAACACTGTTAAATACCACGATTAAAAAAATTATAAATTGTGATGTTAGAACAAATCAACTAAAATTGGTGATGAATGTACGTATATTTGTTTGTGTGTTATGTTACTTTGTAAATAAATAAGATAAACAATCCATTTGGAGCAGTAAAACAATAATAAAATAATAACTAAGTAAATGAATTAATATTAATAAAAAAAATAAAAAAAAAAAAAAAAAAAATAAAAAATTAATTTAAGTTTATCGGAGATTGTGTAACTTTGGATAAAAATAGTTACTGTAATGCAATTGACTACTGAATTATCATTATCATTATCATAACTATTAATACTACTATTAATTTACAATGTAATAAATGATGCGTTTAAATGGGAGGTCAAATTTTAGTGCGACGTACGATTCCCTCGCCTTGCTAAATTATTTTTATTGTTATAATATCAACAATAATAATTATAATTTATAAAAATTATTGTATATTTTAATTGATAAGATTAATAACTAAATTAGAGAGACATCGTCGGAATAATTCGAGCCAATCTCTTAATATTATTTTTATTATTATTATAATTAATATTAATATTAATATTATTACGTCGACTGCTTTTTTTGGTATGGCCAGCGAAAGGACACACGAGGAATGCGAATATAATGTTTATAAATATATATATAAAAATACAGCCATAAGTTCCTTTTATATAATTATTTTTTATTATTAAAATTAAATTGTTAGTTAACTGTGAAATAATGCGGTGAGAAACCGTAATAAATATTAAATAAAAAATTAATAATAATAAATAAAATAAATATGCGTGAGGAGTGTAGGTTGTTTGGAGTTTAGAGTTAAATTAAAAGTTAGCCAATGAGTCGTCGAGTTTATTAATGAAAGTAGTGAGAAAAATGTGGTTGTACAAGTTGAATATTCCATTATTATTATTGTCATAACAATTATTATTATTATTATTATTATTATTATTATTATAATTACAAATGAATATGAATAAAAATATTTTGGTTGTCTAATCGCTCGGCTCCATTCAGGTAACGGCGTCACCTGTAATTTTATACTCAAGTATCTTTACTGCCTGCATATACTAGACGTAGATTGTTGAGAAACAAAACTAAAGAAAAAAGATGAATAATAATAATAAAAAATAAAAAAGATCGAGCACTGAAAGTACGCCTCGTCCTCTTCCTGGCCGATCTTAATAAAATCTCATCCCTCTAAATGCACTATAAGGAATTATTATATTGATTTGAAAGAAAAAAAAAATTTATTGAATTGATTAATCAATTAATTGAGAGAAGAAATACGTGTAGAAGGACGTTTTTATTCTGATTTTTTATTAATTTTTTTAAAGTATGAAAATTAATGTTATTTATTGAAACTATCAGGTTATTTTATACATTAATTTATATTCTTTTATATTTTACAACAATATAACTTAAAAAGTAGCGAAGATATCAGCTGATACACATCGTAGGTTGTCTTCCGACTTAGCAGTTGGTGTGCACTATGGAAACCACAATTTTTATCTGAAATCAATGGCACGGAAAAATTACTTTTTTTCATACAATTACGCTGAATATGAACCTTAATTATAAGCGATATTTTTATTTAAACTATTTTTTTTTTAATAAACAATGTATGAAAAAATCACGATTTAATTTTACAGCTCTCTAAAAATTGCAAATTTTTATTTGTTTTTTGGAATTGAGGTTCATATAGAAGATACACATCTAAAAAAAGTAATTTTTCTGTGGAATTAATTTCAGATAAAAATTGTGGCTTCTATACTGCACACCAACTGCTAAGTCGGGTGACAACCTATGGTGTGTATTAGCTGATATCTCCGCTATTTGTTAAATTGTATTGTTGTTTAATATGAAAAAATACATAACACTGAAGTTGACAGATATTGAAAATTTTTTTTTAATTTTATAGCAATTGAATTATTATAAAAAAAATTTAATCAAAAAGTTCCACATGTATAAATTAATAAAAATTACAAGTGAAAATTTTTAGAAACATTTTTTTATTGTTATTAATTTGTTAAAAAAAATTTTTAAAATTGACAGCCGACGGCTAACTTTAATATTATAAAAATACTCATAAATATATTTATAAAATAACCTGATAGTTTCAATAAACAATATTCATTTTTTATACCTTAAAAAAATTAATGAAAATCAGCATGAAAACGACCTTCTACACGTATTTCCCCCCTTAATTGTAATTTCATAATATACCAGTTAGTTTGAATGTCATTCGTTTATGTACATAAAGTATTTTCATTATACACTATTATATTGAGAATAAAATTGATAATGTGGCTAAATGAATAAAAAAAAAAGATAAATGATATAAAAAAAAAAAAAAATATAAATAGTGGAGAAAGTAATGAGTCGTTTTATCTGTAATTTGTATGTAAAATTATTATGTGAGTCTGGTTGATATACCACTGACGATAATTAATGATGATCTTACGATGATTAATGGTTAAAGGTTGATAATTAATGACTAATAATTGTTTTATTAATTATTAATTATTAATTGGTATTATTTTTAATTGAGTGTAAGTTTGTGATTCACGTTAAAATAACATCTTTTTTTCTTTGTCCATTTTAAAACGAATAAGAGACATATATCATATATATATATATTTTAATCAGTTGCGCTTGGAACTTTATATAATATCAACATTGTAAGCTGTGATTCATTTTCATTTTTAATTATTCATTAGTTAATCACTAATTATAATATTATGTTTATTATTATTAATTAATTAATTAAATATTATTGATATAATGCTAAAAAAGAAATGAAACAATGTCATTTAGCAGTCATCAAGTGAGACTATTTGCGAAATTGACGACGAGATCACGAGAATGCTTCAAATGTAAATATCAACAATGTGTCACGTGCTTATCGAGTAAAAAAAAAATCGTTATGGATTTGCCTTCTATATATTTACTGTTTCGATTGATTTATATCCCTCATATATTTCATTTATTTGTTTTGTAATTATTTATAAAATCATCTAATGATTTACAATCAATACACATCATTTTTTTAATATTTATCTGAACAAAAATCTCTCAACCCTGATGGATCCTTTAAATTACTTTATAATATAAAATATTAATTTAAAAATCCGATATTTGATTTTTTTGAAATATTTTTTTTTTTTTGAAAAATACAGAAAAAAAATGAATTAAAAAAAAAAAGTTGATTATCACAATTTTAACAAATTTTATAAATTTTTTAGAAAATTGTAATATTTAACTTTTTTTTTTTTAATTATTAATTTTTTTATGTACTTCAGAAAAAAATATATCAAAAACATGGTAATCGGAAAAAATAGACCTGGAAAAAATTTTAAAGTTATGAAAAATTCATATGATTTCATTAAAATTATTATTATAAAATAAAAAATAATAATAATTGTATCAAATCCACAATTTTCTTGAAAAACAAGTACCTACTCTCACAATAATCGCTCCATTTTTTGTTACAAAAAAATATTATTATTATTATAATTTTTATTTTATAATAATTTTAATGAAATAACATGAATTTTTCATAACTTTAAAATTATTTCAGGTTTATTTTTTCCGCGATTTCAAAAACATAAAAAAAAAAAAGATAAAATAGAAATTTAATCCAAAAACATGAGAGCCAAAATTTTTTCCAACTTTTGAAGGCAAAAAAGCTATCGAAATCTTTATTTTTGTCTTTCACGACATTTTTTATCATAAATGCGCCGATAAAAGCGAGCAGAATAAAAAAAAAAATTAAAAAATGTTAATTTTCCACTTAGTTATGGCCAAAAATGGGGTTGACCCCACTTGTAAATAATTACTAAAAATAATTAACTTAAAAAATTCAAGATATTTTCATTTTTTAATTTATTTATTTGAAGCTTGAATATTCTACAAAAAAATATCAATTTAAACCTAATTAATTAAAAAAACTTATTTATAAATTTTATATACAACAAACTTTATTTAACTTAATAATTTATCAGATTGTACATCAATTCTTTCAACAAGACCTTGCCCAATAATCGAAAAGTCTTCAATAATCGCCGCGACATTAAGAACAAGTTTACCATTATTATCAAGTCTCCGGCAATTAATATTAGCTACTTTGAATTCCTTAGCATCCAAAGCTTGTGGATTAAATAAAACTCCAATCAAAGATCCACCGTATGTGTCATGAAAGAAGAGAGCAAATTCCCCGTATCCAGCTCTCAATTCCTCCAAATACTTATCCACCGGATTAAATTGAACAACAGGCAGCTTCTGTTCCGGATGAAAGCGATAAGGATGCCATGAAGTTACCAGGAAACTCTCCTCAATATCCAGAGAGTGATACTGATACCTCCGGGGATTAAACTGATCCTTGATATGTATCAGACAATCATAAGCCACCAGTGGAGGTTTGAACATCGGTTTCCAAACCAACACCGAACTTTTCAAGAGTTCAGTCTCAACAAGCTTCAAAGTTTCCCTAGCTAACAAACTAATTCTACTGAGAATCAATTTCGAAGGAGCGTGTTTGGTCCACGTGGAAGTTTCTCTATCATACGGAGTAGCAATAAACAAAGCTGGGAGTGTATCTCTCGCCGTGCTAAATAAATTCTCGACTGCTAGAACCTGATCCTTGTCCATTTCATCATTAAAATTAACAATTATCGCATTAGTATCCCAAGAATGGCTGGATAAAAATTCAAGGAAGCGAATAAAACCCACCTGTGGCATTTGCACCGGCTTGTACGGCTCAGGCGACAAATAAACAAAAGCAACTATCAGCTCCACGACGACTTCTGGCATATGAAAGTGATCTATAAGATGGGCGGAGAGCCAGCGCTTAGCTAAACAACAGGTGGGACCAAAAGAGGGCTGCTGAGAATGAAGACCATAAATTGCTCCAGTCAATTTTGGCAACCGGAACAATTTATTCTCAAGCGCCACAGACTCTTCATTGTCTCTGTACTTAATAACTCCATCCTCACCCACAATTTTCTTCAAACAAGCTATTTCCTTTTGATGCGCGACCCTCAGCCTAAAAACAAATCCCTTTTTAAAGACATCTACGTGACTGAAATTCGCCTTGGCTTTAAGCTTGTATTGTTTCCTCAAGCACTGAGCAATCTGGATGTGAAAGGCAGCTTTAGTTTTCCTCACGGCTTCCAACTCGTCTGGCCACTTTCCACTCGCCGACAATTGGACACTTGCCTCGATAGCTGGCGCGTACTTTGGCACCTCTTGCAAAGTATCTTCTTTGAGCAACAGGCAGTGCTTACCAACAACTGTGTTAATATCATCAGCTTTATAAACAGTAGCAAGAGGCGGGAACACTTCTGAGTATCTAAACACTGGACTGCTTCCTTGGACACCTGTAATAGCCAATGGTAGATCAGCCATTGATGTTAATTCTTTTTCAAACTCACTGAAGACATTAATAACTTGCAACGTCGCTTCTTCTCCAGTTCCATACTGGAAATTAGTTACTTTAATTTTCTTCAACTCCAAAAACTCTTCAATCTGATTAACGACGTACAAAAATTGATCTTTTGACAAATTAAATTTTGTTTTCATTAAAAAAGTTATTATTCTCTGGCAGATTATTCTTTTTTCCGCCAATGAACTGGATTTTTCCCTTAATTTTCCTTTTGAAGCCACATTTTTTTTCCCCTTAAAGTCTTTAATAGACATCGGACTTTTTTTAGCCCAAACAACAGCCTCGCAAATAGAGCCATCTTGAAACCGACGTAATTCTGATTTATTCCCCCAGAACTTTCTGAACTCCTCGGCTTCGGGAAGATTAGCCACCGGTCCTTTGTCAATAACATTGAAACAATACTCTGGATTTAATTGCAATCCAATTAAAAGCTTTCCTAAGCTTGATGAATAATCTTCCGTGACTTCCCACTCTTTGAATTGTTCCGGTGGAATGTAAATATGCAAGACTCTCTGCCCCAAGCCTTTCTTCAGTACATCAGCAAGCAGTTTGACAACTTGGGCGCGTTTGTTTACTCCCAAGTCCAGCTTGTGGTCATCAGAAACATTGTCTGCTAGCTGTTGGAGTGCTTCGGAGTCACGCAGACAAATAAAGTGGTCGAAATTGGAGTAGAAATTCAGACGTTTCATAAAAAGGCTGGAGAAACTGTTGCCTTTTTCGTCATTTAGGAATTTAATTGCTTGCGATGCTTCGCTGCGGATCCAGAGGTAATTATTAGCCGGAATATTGGCTGCTAAGTTATGATAGCCAGAGCAGTCAAGAAAAACGCAGTCGTAGTATTTTAAGTACTCTGCTGCTCTTTCTTTAGCTTCTGGCTCGCGAGACATTGAAATTCCTTCCTCGGTCCAGTTTGTTGTAGCTAAATTGTTCCATACGTTCCTTACTACCTGGTAACTGCTCATGTAAGTGCTTACTTGCTTTTTAGATAGCAGGTACAACACGTACATTGACAAAATGTGACCATTGAAGCCGTCATAAGCTTGCTCTTGCTGTCTTTGGCGCAGCCAAATTTTAAGCAGAATAATTCCGTCTCTAAGACTTGGATATTCGGTAATTAATTTAATACTCTCTGCGTGATTTTGGGGCATTGTTAAATCCCGAAGGATGTTTGAATTGTAATGAGGAGTGGGGACAAGATCGGTGAGCTCGGAATTTTTGAGGTACCACTGGGGTTTTACGTTATTTTTTTCGGGTAAAAATCGGCTTAATTTGAAGCTAGTTGGTTCCGCGGTTAAATGCAAGTAAACTGTGACTCTCTTGCTCAAAGATCCAGAGGGAACTATTTTTAACTTGGGCATCCAGCTCTCACCGTAGTAAGTCTTCTTTTCTGCGATCTCAGGCTTCAAACTGTTGGCAATGTATGCTAAGTAAATAGCGCGCTTTCTTAGATATCTGTAGTTTTCGTAGTCGTGCTTTTGGAATAAAGCTGAGGGCATCTCTATCATCACGTCTATCACGATGTTTGGTCCTATTGAGGTTCCAAGGGGATAGGATCCGATGACACTGATGTTGGATGGTTTTATAAATCTGTAAGTCCCTTTTTCATTCTTAGGAACCTCCACGTCGACTAATTTTACTTTGAGTTTTTTTAAAGACATTAATTTACTCAGCTAAAAAAAAGGAAACGTTTTGTTGAAGTAATAGAAAGAAAAAATTGTAATTATTTACAAGTGAGGTACACCTTTTTAATTTTCATTTTTTTGGACAAAATTTTGATGTATTTTTTTTTGAAAAATATATAAAAAAAATGAACAATTTAAAAAAAAAAGTTGATTACTACAATTTTACAAATTTTCAAAAAAATTTATAAATTTTTTAGAAAATTGTGATATTCAATTTTTTTTTTTTTTTAAGAGAATAAAAAAAAATTTTTAAATGTTAATTTTTCACCTACATATGGCCAAAAATAGGATGCACCCCACTTGTAAATAATTACCGAAAAAATATAAAATTATGTAAATAAAATTTTACCTGTTTTTCGTCAGTTTCTTTGATTGCTAACACAGTGTCCTTAAATTTTTCAAACCAAACATCAAATTGTTTTTTGTATTTATCTTTCGGCCTGACTTCAGCCAATACTTCATCTATCTGAAGCCGGAATAAATGTGAATGATACAAAGTTTCTGTTTCTCTAAGCTGATTTAATTCTTCAACAGTTGGTTTTTTGAAAGGATTTTCTTTTTTCATTTTTTTCGCCGGCTGATCATTTTCTGCAGTTTCAAGGTTTCTTTTCATTACGGTTTTAAATCCTTCACAGTCTTCATCTTCGTCTTCTTCACCATCTGATTCGAATTCAACATTATCTTCATCATCGTCAAGTTCTTCAGCATCATCTGATTCCAACTCGACATCTTCCTCTTCTTCTTTTACCTCCTAAAAAAAATATCAATTATTTAATAAATTATTCTCTGATAAAATAAATAATGTTTACATTTAAAATTAATAATTAATTTTTTTAATAAAGTTAATTAATTTTTATCAATTCACAAAATCTTTTACCAGTACTCATTTTTTAATGAAACTTAATTTAGCATATATTTAAGAATTTCATAACAAATAAATTATGACAAAAAAAAATTATTAAAAAATATTGACATGTAGAAATTTTAAAAATAATTTTTTGGAACAATTTTTTTTTTTTTAATAAAATTAAAAAATTTTAAAGTGACTGCTAACTTTAATATCTTGATTTCTTTACACTATTTAAATTGCTTATAAAAAAATATAGTGGTTTGTAAATTAAAAAATAAAAATAAAAAAACTTTTTAAACATACCTCAACAACTTGTTTTCTTTTTTTATTAAACTTCATTGTAAATTATTTATAAACAATAAAAAAAAATATTTATAACACAGTTTTTAATAAATAAAAACTGAAAAATCACACAAGTAAATAAATTTAACTCTCACACGTGCTTCTCATAAGCAACTTTATACACTTAACCTCTCTTCTGTCTCTTCTGGTGGTGTATTTAAAACTGTAGCGCATTGAAAATTTATATTCTCATGAAAACAAACCTTTAACTTTACTGAAGGAGAATTGAAATAGAAAAACCAAAGTTAAATTTTCATCATCCTGGATTATAACTCTGATAACTCTCACCGGCAGGTTCAGAAAAATAAGAAGAAAGAAAATATTAGGAAAATTGTATATAAGTGGGGATTTAATTGAGAAAATTCCTACTCACATGACAAAACAGAGGACAGTTCAAATAATTTCAAACTGCTTCTACATCGTCCATACACGCATAAATATAAACGCTAGCTCAAAACGTGAGTAAACGTGTGCACCGGTGTCTCGAATTTTTGTATTATATTAAAAAAAAATATTATTTGACACCATGATTGGAAAATCGAGATTTTTATCAAGAAATGTTGGACTTCTAAGGGTAAATATTAATTATATTAAATTAATTTATAGTGCTAATAATAAAAAAATAGAAACAAATAACCTCAAAAATAAATTAAATAATAACAAAATCTCTATGATTTTCCATAGAATGCCGTAGCACATACAGATATTACATCATCCACGGCTCTAGCTTCAGTATGTCCTGTCCAGATACGTGAAAAGTCATCAACTCCTCTGAACACCATCATCATGTTTGTTCCTCAGCAAGAGGTTAGTATCTTTAAAAATTTAGATTAGATTAGATTTTTCTTAACTCTGGGAAGGGGAAGGTTCCCATTCGGCCTTCATACTTAGTATTTTAAAATGTTATCTGCAATTCTCAAACAAAATAATTAATTTGTAGGCCTGGATCGTGGAGCGCATGGGAAAATTTCACAGAATGTTGGAGCCTGGTTTGAATTTTTTAGTCCCTTTTATTGACAACATAAAATATGTTCAAAGCTTGAAAGAAATGGCAATCGACGTACCCAAACAAAGTGCCATTACGAGAGACAATGTTACTTTGGACATTGATGGTGTCTTGTATTTACGGGTCAACGATCCTTACAAGACTTCTTACGGTGTTGAGGATCCGGAATTTGCTATTATTCAATTGGCGCAGACAACAATGAGATCTGAGTTGGGAAAAATCGCTTTAGATAATGTATTTAGGGAAAGAGAAGATCTTAATGTCAATATTGTCGAGAGTATCAACAAAGCTGGCGAAGATTGGGGTATTACCTGTTTACGTTATGAAATTCGTAAGTTTTATTTTATTATTTATTGTGACACTGACATACATTGGAAATTTTTTTAGAATTTTATAACAATGAAATTATTATGGAAAAAAATTTCATAAGTGAAAATTAGAAAACAAGGGCAACCTTGCAGTCACTATGTGACTACTGTGACTTGTGAACTATAAATAAATGAAATTTTGTTTTATTAACTAATAACTTTTGTTAAAGTGCACTGTACTTTTTAACTATTGACGTTTTTAAAGATATAAGCTCATCCCGATGTTACACTCATCAAGAGCTTTCATTTGAGTATCCACATGCATTTTTGATATATTTTTCATATATCCATACATATAATAATATATATAAATATGTAAAATATATGAAAAATTGATGTGGGTACTCAAATGAAAGGTCTTGATGAGTGTAACATTGAGATGAGCTTATATCTTTAAAAATGTTAATAGTGCTCATTCCCGAAGTTTACACTCATCAAGAGCTTTCATTTGAGTATCCACATGCATTTTTGATATATTTTTCATACATCCATACATATAATAATATATATAAATATGTAAAATATATGAAAAATTGATGTGGGTACTCAAATGAAAGGTCTTGATGAGTGTAACATTGAGATGAGCTTATATCTTTAAAAATGTCAATAATATTAAAGGTACCAGATCGTTTCTTAATTATATTAGACTGCATTGTACTTTCTTAACTATTGACATTTTTAAAGATATAAGCTCATCCCGATGTTACATTCATTAAGAGCTTTCATTTGAATACCCACATGCATTTTTGATATATTTTTCATATATCCATATATATATATATAAATATATGTAAAATGTGATGTGGGTACTCAAATGAAAGGTATTGATGAATGTAATTTCGGGATGAGCTTATATCGTTAAAAATGATAATAGTTCACAAGATACAAGGTCTTTGCTAAATAATGACTTTTGTTAAATTGCACTGTACTTTCATAACTATTGACATTTTTAAAAATATAAGCTCATTCCGATGTTACACTCATCAGGAACTTTCATTTGAGTACCCACATGCATTTTGATATATTTTTCATATATACATACATATATAAAATATATATAAATATATAAAAAATTAATGTGGGTACTCAAATGAAAGGTCTCGATGAGTGTAATGTCGGGATGAGCTTATATTTTTATATTTAAAAATATCAATAGTTCACGAGATACAAGGTCATTTTTTAATTATGTATCTAAAGATAGAGCATTTTCCCAGACATTAATCAAGACTTTTCCAACGATACCAAATTTAACCATAAAAACCCATTTTGTCATATAAATACACTTGCCACAAAATTTTGCTTATTCTCTTAATATAGATTATAAGTGGAAATTTTTAGAAGCATTTTTTATTATTGTAATTGATTAGTTATAGAATTAAAAAAAATTCTCCGTTGTCAGCCAATTTTAGTATAATTTTTTGAATATTATTTTTATTAATTACTCAAAATTTTAAATAATATTTCCAATTTTTTTTATGTAGGTGATATCCGATTGCCATCCAGAGTCCAAGAAGCAATGCAGATGCAAGTAGAAGCCGAGCGTAAAAAACGTGCTGCAATTTTAGAATCCGAGGGAATAAGATCAGCAGACATAAACGTCGCTGAAGGTAAACGTCAGGCGAGAATATTAGCGTCTGAAGCTGAAAAACAAGAGCAAATAAACAAGGCCAGTGGAGAAGCAAATGCCTTGCTGGCGGTCGCTGAAGCTCGTGCCCAAGCACTTCAGATCGTCGCTAAAGCTTTAGGTCACGAGGATGGAAAAAACGCCGCTGCCTTGAATGTCGCTGAGCAGTACGTTCACGCTTTCAGCAACTTAGCCAAAACAAATAACACTTTAATTTTGCCGAGTAATGTCGGCAATGTTTCGGGTTTAGTCGCTCAAGCAATGTCTATTTACAAACAACTTTTACCGCAAAACGGAGAAATTGGTTCCAAGAACACCATTAGTTCTCATACCAATGACGAAGCCTTTGAATATTTCAGCGACCAGGACGAAGCTGTAAAAAATAGTAAAAACACAACAAATACTAAATCGATTGAGTAGATGTAGTTGGTTTTAGATAATATTAATAATAAGAAATAGGTAATATCTGAGTTAATGTATGAAAAAAATTTATTTTTAATTGAAAAGTATTTTAAGATAGGATAAAATTTTATTTCATTTGTATTACTTATACCGATTACTTTTTCTTTTTTGTATGCAACGTTGTTGTTGTAATTGGAGCTGAATAATTTTCTTGAGATATCTTATTAATGTAATAGAGTGCTACCATGGAGAAGAGGAAACACGTAGTGGTAGACACTCGATGAACTAAACCTGACGCAGTCATTGAAAACAATAATGATATAAATACTGTAACAATTTTAAAATTTGATTAATAAAATTAAACGAAATTTACATAATTTATTTTGTTATTATTATTATACACAAAAAACAAATTTCTTGCGCCAAAAAAATTTTAAGAAAAACAAAAATTAAGGTAAAAGACCCAGGTTGTTTACACTTGCAATTTTATTTCAATTAAATAAAACAAATCGACTCTAATAAATTAATAAATAATATAATGAAATAACTTTTATTATTACTATGTATTGATCTATATATAAGACCCTTAGGGAGCTAAGGCTTCAGGGTGTAAAATTTTGATAAATAAATAATTTTCGAATTTTAAATTTTGAGATAATTGATTTTTTGAGAACATTTTATTTTTTTAATTAGAATAACTTTTAATTGCAAGTGTCATTTAACTAGGCCAGTGTCAATAACTGGGTCTTTTATGGTACTAAAGTTAGCCGACATTTTTAATTATTTGATTTTTTTTTAATAATTAAATTAAAACATAAAAATATTTTTAAAAAATTTCACCTACAGTTTTTGAGGTTTTTTACAAGTGACATTTTTTAAAAAATTTTTTTTTGCAATAAATTTTTCAATAAAAAAAAAATTCTAAAAATTTTCAAATGTCGGCTAACTTAATTTTCATGGGTCTTTTACCTTATTTTAAAGCAAGAAGAAATTTTGACTTCATTCAAGAAATTTTCAATCTTCCTTAATATTTTTTTGAGCCAAGAAAATTTAAACTTCAGTCAAGAATTTTTTTTTTTCAGTGTAATATAAATAATTACCTTCGGGGAATAATTTTAATTGGAAATTTTTTCCAAATATTGAAGACTCTAGATTTCCTACGGCTGTTAAAATAAAAATAAAAAGCATGGATCCTAAATAACCACCAAAAATCGTATGCAGTTGGGAAGAAGTCAGCCAGCTTTTGTACATTTGCATTCCAGAAAATAAAATTACTGTGAATATGGATGACAGGATAAATGACACTCCACTCGTTACCGCTGAAAAAAAAAAAAAATTATGTTTATATATAATAATAAAAATTAAAGCCGGTTACTCAGGTTATGACACGTAGCAATGAAAATATTGGAGTAAATTAATTAAATTTTAATTAAATCAAAAAAGAAATAATTAAGAACAAGTATTTATAATTTGCAATTACTTACCCATAATTAGTAAATGTGCGTATGAATATTAACAGTTATGTAAATATTTAATTTTTTAATTACTGGGTTTCATTCACTGCACTGCTGTCAACTTTCGAGTATCGAGCACAAGTGGACTGTTTATCACCAGAGCTGGCGCTCTCTATCGGCCGTTATTGAGAGTGTAACTCTTGAATAAATTGGAGTGATTTGTCAAAATTACGCAAATAATAATTGAGATTTATATTGCATACTGGAATATTTTAGCTGTCTTTTTCACGAGTTTTATTAATCACGAAACTGCAAGTACCAGACATTGTCCAAATTTTATTAATTGTAAATTATTTTTATTTCATTGGTAAAATTATAGTAAAGTAAATTTATCTTAATAAAAATATTTATGGTGTGTCATATTAATGAAAATTAAATCAACTGACATCTGCAAAATTTTTAAATGCAATTTTAAAAAAATTATTTTTTGGAATAAATTTGTTAAAAAAAAATTAAAAAATTAAAAAAGTGACAGCTATCTTTAATGTCATAAAAAATTTGAAAAATTCTAAGTGCAATTTTTTAAAAATCATTTTTATTAATTTAAAAAATTAAAAATGACCAAATGTCTGCTGATTTTAGTATAATAATTTTGTTATTGAAAAAAAAATTATTTAAAAAATTCTAAGTGCAATTTAAAAAAAATATTTTTTTACTTATAATTTTTATTTATTTAAAAAATCAAAAATTTTAAAATGTCTGATAATTTTAGTAGCATGTGATAATAACAATTATTCTAAAGTTAGCTGACATATGATGATTTCTATGATTTTTTTAAACAAATAAATTAATAAAGTTATAAAAAAATTTTACTTGTAGATCTATCAAAAAGTAATCATACTATAGTACTTTATTTGTCGTGACAGTCCAAAAATGACAGGTCCACTAACTTCAGTTTCATTATTAATAACTTAATAAAGTTCTTCTAAAATAAATGTCCACAGGTAAAATAAAAAAGAAGAAATTTTTTCGATAGATTTATTCTTTATATGAAATAAAAGTTTATCCAGCCAGTATGATTTTTTGCCTAAAAGTATAACAATAATTAAAACAATTGAAGGTAATTAATAATGAGTTAAGTACATAATAAATAATAAAATTTGATAACAATTATATTTAAAAATAATTAAAATTCTAAGCAACTTTATATTAGGCAGATTTCTTCTTTCCGCCGTCAATAGTTTGATTATTGTGCCATGAGAATGACTTTTGATTTATATCAGTTATAATTTACTCAACAAAATAAAACTGTACACCTTTTTTACAGCTTAAAACAATATTGGTCCATTAACGACATCATATGAATTATCGATATGCTCTAATATAATATTGACTTCAATTCACATTTCAAATAAATTTTTAAATTCATAAAGTTATGTCGAGAACCAGTTTTTTATTTTTTCTATTCTACGATTACCCGCATCGAAGATTAAGCCGCCTATCGCAGCTTTTTAAATTGTATTTCTATAACAGCAATAATTTTTGTTATATATTTAAATATATAAGTTTTCCAGACACAACTATAATAAATATATATATTTATATCATTTGGTAATTGCTTGATAAATTGTCAAGTAAATAAACGTCAACATTGGACCCAAGTTAATACTTAGAAACAAGTACCATTTTTGTTTCTCAGTATCATTAATTGATCTAATATAACAATGAAAAAACCAAAAAAATGAACCGACAAATGAATTTAAAAATATAGATACATAAATTTAGTAATATTTAAATTGTTATTACAACCATTAATGAGAAAAATATCTTTATATATCTTGTTCTATTATTACAATTAATTATTAATTATTCTGAAATGGATGTTGACTGTCTCTTCTCATAAATATAAAATAATATATATGAATATATTTATAATTGGCACACATAATGCCTCTATCGAGCGTCCGCTGATTGTTGAATTCATGAATATCATTATATTATATTTCGTCACGTTTTTGTGATATAACATTACTTATTCCAGTGAGATTTTTTATTCCTTAACTACTGGAATATTCTAAGCGACTATCTCGAGGTTTTTGAATAGTCGGGAATGTTCACCGTTGGTTGGGCGAAACAGAACGCTCTCATCTGGCTTGATGAAGAAAAGCCTTCATGCATGATTTATGGGATTCCTTTCTCTCCCCATCCATATTTTATCATCGGTACCATCGTCTCCGACAACCACCAGCTATCACTACCACTAAATCTATTTTATTACTATCACTACTGTTACAACTATCACAACTCGGTCGCTTTTCAGGCGCTGACTAAAACGTGTCCAGTCTCACATTATTTTCTAATAATAATAAAGTTAGCTGACATTTTTTATTTTTTTATTTTGCTTAATTTATTAAATTATAACTAAAAAATATTTTTAAAAAATTACACTTATAGTTTATGAAGTTTTTAACAAATGAAAAAATTTTTTTATAATAATTCTTTAATAAAAAAAATTATATAAATTTTTAGATGTCAGCTAACTTTATTTTCATTATTTTCTAATAAAAATTATCAACAATTTCCACAATAATATACATATATTTATATTAATAATAATAGTAATATTATATTTAAAGATACTTATCTAATTAATAATTATAATTATCACTTAAACCATACTTTTTTTAAGCATGATTAAAAATGGGCCTAAAGTTATCTTCTTTATTTAAATAATTAAATCTACTAAATCTATTTATGTACAGGCCCGTTTTTTTTTAATTGTATTGTAATTGTTTAATAATATTTTACGTTTATTTTTAGATTCAAACGTAATTAGGTCTCGAGGCACAACAGAGGAAGTTGAAGCTACCACCGAAGTAATTCGGATTTCCGGCCCTGTTGTCCCACCTGTTGCCTTTACGGGCCCCGTTATTGCGAGCTAGGCCAGCACAGCAATCTTGTAAAGCAATTGTTCTTTCTGAAAAAATTTAAAAGAGGTGTGTTATGAAATTTTGAATTTTATTTTTAATTTAATAAATGAATAATTGAGTAGGAGTGTTGAAGTGTTGGAGTATAGTTTGCTAGAAAGGAAAATAATAGGGTGAGATGCTCGTTAAAAAGTAAAAAGAAACTTGCCTACATCAGCTTCAGATTGCGGCATGAATTCCTGAAGCTCGGCAACAAGAGCGCTTATTTCCGCCGAGTCTTTGCGGATACTACAAAGTTCCTCCTCATTGAAATTCGGAGTAATCTGCTTGCATAGTAAAATCGATGAAATCACATTTCCAATGTTCGATGGTCCCGATTTACTAGCTGGAACATAAATTTTTATTTTTCATTGTAGTTATCAATGTGGTTTACGAATCCGATTATAAATTTTATTAAAAAAACACGGAAATCTTTTAATGGAAGGAATTTTATTAAATAGAATAAAAGATCACTTAGAATAATGATAATAAAAATTAATAATAATAAGAAAAATTAAGGTAGCAGATATTTGATAACTTTAGGAATTTTTGTAATAAATAAATTATGGTAAAAAAAAATATTATAATAAAGTTAGCCGACATTTTTTATTTTTTTTCTTTTACTTAATTTATTAAATTATAACTAAAAAATATTTTTAAAAAATTGCACTTATAATTTTTGAAGTTTTTGACAAATTAAAAATTTTTTTTTTTATTTTTTGATAAAAAAAATTATAAAAATTTTTAAATGTCGGCTAACTATTTTCATAAAAAAAATTGACATAGAAATTTTAAAAAATTAAAAATGCAATTGTCAAAAAATAATTTTTCAGAAAAAATTTAATTGTTAAAAAAAAATTAAAAAATAGTTAAGTGATTGATAACTTAAATGATGATACTAAAATTAGCCGACGTTCAACGTTTAAGATTTTTGTTATATTAAAGAATTATTTTTTAGTTATAATTTAATAAATTAAGCAAAATAAAAAAAATGTCGGCTAACTTTATTATTATTGAAAATTAAGTTAGCCAACACTCAAAAATTTTTGATTTTTTTTATTTAATAAAAATTATAACTAAAAAACTATTTTTAAAAAATTCCACGTATAATTTTTAAAATTTTCTAAGCTGACTTCAACATTATCTTCTACATGTGAAATTTTTTCAATTTTTTAAAAATAATTTTTTCATTAAAAAAAAATTATTAAAATTTTCAGATATCGGCTAATTTAATTTTCATACATAAATGTCATACATAATAATAAAAACTGTACCGTAATAACCGGACATATCCATTGGAACAATCCGTACAAGATTCTTGCATTTGAAAAGCTCTCTGAGGAAAAGCTGAGCGACAAAGAAGAGCAAAACCAAATTTGGGCTGTCTGCTGGTATTCCAAGGTCGATCGCACTGGGTATCCATCCAATTAAGGCGTAAAAATAAATAAAAAAAGGCTATATTAGATGAGATAGAGGTAAGGTGAGGAAAAATTAGCAGACATCGTGTTCAAGAGCCTGTGACCTTAGCAAACACCCGGAGGCGGGATTCCACGCGAGCTAAACTCTGGAAATAATCCAGTATAACTGGCAGTAGGACTACATCACAACACACTATGGTATTTGTAAATTAAGGCCCGTAATTTTTTTTTTTTTTTTCATACCTTTTTATAGCTTCTCTTTTCATATGTTTTAGCTAGAAGAAACGTAAGAGCTTACTGGACTCGTTAAGAACCTTGTCCCACATTCAAAAGTACCTACTACTTGTACTATTAACTCAGTATAATGTACACTCATTTCTTTTAGTTTTTCTTTTTATAATTTCTAAGAGACCGTCGGCCGGCGTGAGTATGTTTTTAAATTTATTTCATTTCTTCTTTTTTTATTTAAACGTATAATATTTATTTAAACCCATTATTTCACGTGAAAAGCGTATTAATTACTCCCAGCAATTATTTACTCGACTCAAACTCTATATTTTCCTCTTGTTTCAAGCCCCAGAGTGGGGTTACGCTTAGAAAAATTATACCAATATCAAATTATAAAATCCACCCACTATACCGTCACACTACTGGATGTTTAATTTTACGAGTTTTATTATTATTAATTACACTATACTATCGCGTGAGACGTCATGATCCTTTAACGTGTTCATATTATACATCCGAGTAACGTTATCACAAGCACCAGTCGGCTATTCAATACCCACATTGTTGGACTCATGAGCTTTGCGATGATACTCTCTATGGAATTAACATATTAAATAATAATTCCATATTTATTATTTATTTATATATTTATATTTATACACACAAATATAAAGGTAATTAATTATTTATAAATTATAATCTACTTTTCAACAAAATATAATATTCTTCTTGTAATAATTATTCAGAGACATTTTTTTATACTGCTAATTATTTATACTTATATAGTAAATGAAATTGATTTAATTTAAATTTAATTCTAATGAAATTTTAATGCTCTTTTTCTTTTATTTTCTTTTTTCACCAAAAAATAAATTTACTTGATGTAAACTCAATGTATAAAGCCGATTGGTGTTTGAATAAATAAATATATAAATAAATAATTACGTGGGAAGCTATAGAATACATAATTTTTATTTCAGACTTATAAAAAATGTTTGTTTCAAGTTAAAGTTTTGATAATAAAGGTATAATCATTTGGAAGCCGACAAAGTAATAAGTTTTGTTATGTCACTGGAGGCGACTGAAAAAGCCGATATGGATAGCAGAAAAAATGAGATGTGCATTTACCCCGAGAGAATTTACTGGGATAATCTATATATTCTTTTCTTTATACTTCTTTCAAGGATTTTCTATGATATGAATTCTATACCTTTGTTTTATTTTTAATATCTATGGAACAACTGAGAAAGAAAATGAGGACACGTACGTATTCAACTCAACTAAACTATATATTTTTTTCAGATTTCGAATTCTGGTTATCAATATCAATAATTTTAATATTTATTTTTTCTAAATACTGGTTTATAATACTTTTTTTTTAGATTTTTCAGTTAATTGGCTATCCAGTCATATTTACATAAGTAACAAATGTCCTTATACAACTTTAACAATAATTTTATAAAAATAATTTTTGGTTTGTCATCATGTGATACGTCTTACTATAATATCGTAAACTTATTTTTCTTACAACAACTTTTTTCTTAATAACTATGTTATTATACGTATTTTTTAAAGCTAGGGTGAAAAAAATAAAATATAAATTAAAAGAAAACCATAGAGGTCATTTTTGAGTGTCGGATAGCTTAACAGATAGAGCCTTTGGAGCGTAACCAAAAGATCCAGGTTCGAGTCCTGGTCTGAGCCGTCCGAATTATTTTTTCAGTCCACTTTATCTTTAATTACAAATTTAGATATAAATTGAGGCTAAATTGTTTATGCCTGGAGGGAAATACATAACAATATTACAAAAAATTAGAGAAAAAAATTGTTGTATTAGACTGGATAGCCAATTAACTGAAAATTCTAAAAAAAATGACACTGAAGTTAGCAGACGTATAAAATTTTTTGATTTTTTTTTATCAATTAAATTACAACTAAAAAGATATTTCTAAAAAATTGCACTTATAGTTTTTCAAGTTTTTTACATGTGAAATTTTTTTTTTTAATTGTTCAATCGAAATTAATTCATTAAAAAATTTCTATAAATTTTGAAATGTCGGCTAACTTGATTTATCATAAAATATATCAATAATATTCTCAACTCATTTTCGGAAAATTTATTATTATTGTTTTCTGGTAAGTATTTTTTATTAACAATGCACACATTGTGAAAAACATGCATAAAAATGCCAGTCATTTGAATATCATAAATAATAAGAGCTTTCAATGAGTAATGCTCGGCATTTATTATTATTATTTTTTCATATTTTTTTTATATATAAAAGACGGTATTTTTCTTTTTCAATTCAATACTTCCATACTTTCTGATCGAAAATGTATTCGTGAGACATTTGACATTCAGGATCCCGCATCGAAAATTCTACAATATGCGCTCTAGTCCGTGAGTTTAATCGCTGTATCTCGTTATTTTATTTTATTTTATTTTACTACTAATACTAATACTTGTATAAACATATTTTACAGGGAATATAATTTTTTCTTCTCAAGTACGAGATAAAGTAAATATATGCAGCGTATTATAGCAGTTGACATTCTGAAATCCGCATCTAAATTCCAAGAACACAATACAGATTAAATCGATAGTCAAGTATTTAGATATGTAACGTTGTTATGCATATGAATATGTATATTATATATTATATACATAATATATAAGTAAGTATGAATAAAAATATTTACGTTAGGTATAAAGTATTTTTATACAAGCTCTGAGACTTGCATTTAAAGTATCATGTACGTTATCGTAAAACAAATGTGGAATAATAAAAAAAATAAATAAAATAAAGAAAATCATAAACATGCGATTGGGGCGAAAAATAAAACAGTTAGATCTTGATGAGCCACTACACGCAACATATTGAAATATGAAATATGGAGCGACTTTTATGAGCTTTAAAATGGAGGAAAAAATAAAAGTAAAGGCGTTTGGTATATTTAATCTGGTAACAGAAGAAGTAGCGCCGGAAGGGCTTGCAGAAATGATTTAGTTTGTAAAATACTTTAAGATATTAAGATACTGAGTATAAGAGTTGAGGTTTAGCTTCTTAGCATACTAGGGCGCACGTTTTTTCTATTTCTTCTCGTGTGGTACAGTCTGCAGTATACATGCTTGCATTACTTTATTTTTCTTTTTATTATTTTTCTTGAATTCCTTACTATACCCTTACCGCCGAAGTTAATCTTTCAAGGGAACTATTTGACGACAACATTAAACATTCATATTTTCATTAGGTAAAGCAAACGGCTGAGACGACCTTTTTAGTCAACCATTCATAGTCTTGCCCTGCTCGGTTCTATTGCCCTAACCCATTCATTATTGCTACTTAATAATCGTTAAAATACTGCTATAATAAAATAACTAAAACTATAAATATTGTACGGAAAAAAGAAAAATTACATTATATATAAGGTGGAGCTCCGTGATGAAAACTGAAAAAATTACAATTTCAGATTGTAATAATTACAGATTTTATGAATTACGTTGTAGAATTTAGACCTAATATTTACATTGAAAGCTCTGAAAATTAACATTCAAAGTTTTAATTTAGAAAATTGTTATTTCAAACTGTAATTTTTCTAGTTATGAATACGACGGGACACTTATTACTATTTATAATGTACACTGATAGAAGGGTTTGTTTGTATTAAAAATTATTTGTTAATAATTAACAAATCATTTATTAGAGACCACTTTTTAGTATTAAAAAAATATTTTTTAGTATTTAGAATGATTTGTTTGTATTTAATAAATCTAATATTCATTCATTAAATATTAATAAATCTTTTTAAATTAATATTTAAAAAGATTTATTGATTAAAAAATATTTGTTAAGGACTAAAAAGTGGTCTCTAATAAATAATTTGTTAAATATTTTTAACTATAAACAAATTCTTCTATCAGTATATAATTTTTTGAGTTTTATTTTGTGTGAATTTATTTTTGCATGGTGAATAATTAAAGCGATAAACTTGAAAGCGGTAAAAAAGTAAATATCCTATTAATAAATGTCAACAAATTGTTTGTTATATCAAAACGAGTTTTCATTGTTACTTTTAATACAACCAGTAAAATTTGCATATTGACGGGATAAAAAAGTAATCTTTTATGAGGAAAGTTCAAAATTCAATGCTGCTATAAAACTAAAACTGATTTATTTTAAAAATCATACAAAATAAACTTTTGGGTATAATAGAAGTACCTATTGCACAATGGGAAGTATTTGAAATATTATTTCAATTAAAACTTTGGCTATAAATTTTAGTAAAAAAAAAAAAAAAAAAAAAAAATTCTATTTCTAGAGTTGCTTTTATTCTATTTCCACATTAGCTATTGTCGACAAGATCTTGTGATTAATTCTCACAATTGTATAATCTATTAAATTTGTATATAAATTATGTGTGCTATTTTATCTTCTAAAAATTTTTTAAGATTTATTTCCTGAACATTAATATCGCTTCACTGCTTGTCGATAAATTTTGCACAACAAAAAAAGTGGTATACAGAAGTTGAATAAAATAAGTGCAAATTCACGATTTTTTCCCCAATTCAATTGAAATCTCACATAAATTATTCCAAATAATATATTATTGCGTTACATGAGCAAAAAGCTGAAATATATATGATGGATAGCTTTGCTAAAAAAAAACTTCATGAATAAAATGGTTCTTTTGAGCTCCATGACTAGGTATATCCCTCTAACACCAGTCTTTTCCCTCAATAAATTGAGTAATATTAATGTTCAAGAACAATAAAAGCTATAACATGAAAAATAGTGATAAAACATCAGAAAAAATAAAACTTACAACTTGCAAATTCAAATAACTTGTGAACAAAATTAATTTGTTCCAAAAAATTATTTTTAAAAAATTGGATTTTAAATTTCTACATGTCAATTTTTTTCTAATTTTTTTTTTGCCATAATTTATTTTTTAAAAAATTTAGTAAAATTTACAAATATCTGCTAGATTAATTTTTATAAAAAAGTTTCATTAAAATTAATTTAATAAATATTTTATTATTTTAATAATTTTTGTAACAAATAAATGATGGCAAAAAAAAATTGACATTTAGAAATTTAAAAAATAAAAAATGGAATTTTTTTTAATAATTTTTTGATACAAATTTGTTAAAAAAAAAAAAATAAAAAAATAATAATATAAAAATAATTAAAAAAAATAAAAAAATAAACATTAAGAAATTTTAAGAAAGAAAAAAAAATTAAATAGTCTCATTTTTTATGATTTAAAATATAATTAAATAAAAAAATGAATAAGTGTAATTAAATATAATTTTTTTTTTAAAAAAAAAAAAACAGATTCTCACCTACGCATCTGAGGTAAAACCAACTGAGAAGTAGATTTGCAGGACTCGACGCAGTTCCGTCGCAGCTTGCGAACACGTTCTCGGAGCTCAGGACCGTCCCGAGGCTGTCCGATGTTAATCAGCAGATCTCGAAACTGAGCCACCTGGCAGTTAATGTCATGTATTTGCTGTAACACATCAAGTGCACACTCAATTGTTGAGGAGTAAGGACATCTGTATGCATTCAGGCTCATCGAATGCTAATTGGGTGATATATATTTGGAAGGATTAATAGCCTGGGTCTACTGCCGAGTAAAGGGTGGTATCTACCTACTCTTACACATCCTCTGCTCCACTGCGCTATACAACGTTACCTCCAGCGGCAAGCTATTCAAGGAAAATTCGTGTTAATTGGATTTTCGTTAAGCCTCAGCTGTGCTACCCAATAAAAAATCCTTTTTCAATTATTCAATGTTTTATCAATCCGTATTAACGGAATAACTCAATCGATTTTCAATTTTTGTATTATGACATTTCAGTAATTATGCTCTGCTGAAGCTCAGGTATTTTATTGTAATTTAGTATCACAAAATCAAATACCTCAGATAAGAAATTAACTGTTGTTAAATTTTCAAAAATTTTTTTTAAATATTAGAAAATAATTTGTGGTAAAATTCATTTAATTTAAAATCTTAATTTTTTTATGTTTGAAAAATCATTAAAATTGTTGGATATTGATGATTATAATTTAGTAATCTATATTATTAAGAGAATATGCAAAATTTTGTGGCCAGTGTATTTATATCATAAAATGGGTTTTTATGGTTAAATTTGTTTCGTTGGAAAAGTCTTGACCTAGAGTTGTGCCTTTTCAAGGTTTTATATCATTCTCACCAATAGTCAATTTATGATGATAAGTATTTAGGCTGCATCCGAAAATGCTCTATCTCAAGATAGAAATGATTAAGAAATGACCTTGTATCTTGTGAACTATTGATATTTTTAAAGATATAAGCTCATCTCGATGTTACACTCATCAAGGCCTTTCATTTGAGTACCCACATTCATTTTTCATATATTTATATATATTATGTATATGTATATATGAAAAATATATCGAAAATGCATGTGGGTACTCAAATGAAAGCTCTTGATGAGTGTAACATCGGGATGAGCTTATATCTTTAAAAACGTCAATAGTTAAGAAAATACAGTGCAATTTAACATAATTAAGAAATGACCTTGTATCTTGTGAACTATTGATATTTTTAAAGATATAAGCTCATCCTAATTTTACACTCATCAAGAACTTTCATTTGAGTACCCACATTCATTTTTCATATATTTATATATATTATGTATATGTATATATGAAAAATATATCGAAAATGCATGTGGGTACTCAAATGAAAGTTCTTGATGAGTGTACCATCGGGATGAACTTACATCTTTAAAAATATCAATAGTTAAAAAAGTACAGTGCAATTTGACAAAATTCATTATTTAATAAAGCAAAATTTGATTTATTTATGGTTTATAAGTCACGGCAGTCACAAAGGTTGCTAGTTCTTATAGAAAAAATAGTTAATAAAAACAAAACATAATTTTAACAAGAAATAATTTTTTTTCTGAATCATCTGATTTTGTCACAGCACATTAATAATTCCTATTATATGGTTTCAGCTTTTTGTCGAGTCTCCCTCGCATAAAATACCACAGAAATATCCTCGTAAGAGGGACACCCGAAAAACTATAATTAATTACTAAATTATTGTCAAATTTAACGGAATTAATTACCAGTGCAATTGATTTATCATCATGTAATTTGCTGGTGGATGGTGTCGGGGATTGCGTCATTATCTATGCTGAATGTGTGCCCTACTCCGGTGTCGGGTAACAGATTGGACAAAATCCACATCAGCAGCATATCTTTTCCGCATCCTCAGGACCAACAGTCATCCCATTATTGGCTAGCTAGTTGCTGCTGATGGGATATAGTAAGCTATTACCTTTCAGATGTATTAACAATCAGTCGCCTAATCGGATTTAACTTGATGACAATTACAGCCACAATTACAGTAATGTGCGGCGAGTGTGTTTGAATCAGAGGCTGAGATTTCGATGTTTGTTATGCTCTCAGTATAGACTGTTGATACTCCAGCAATTAATACCGGTGGCTTCATTTGTCCAAGTTAAATCCAACAAATTACACGGTACTTTCATACCACACGTGATGATGTCACTTGATATCTTCCTATTGACATCCGAGAAACTTACAGGTCAGAGATACTTTTTTTTTTTATTTCTTTTCTTCTTTTCTTCTTGTACTCTTTCCTTTTTTTTTTTTAATAATAAATCCAAGCGTTACACAGACACTCAAATTTCACGTCAGAGGAGTAAGTAATTAAGACACTCGTCGAAACGGTTCTTAGATTTATAAACTTTTTAATTAGACATGACAGGTGTTAGCTGGTGAAGTTATTCAGCAAGATAACTCTGTTAAAATAAATTATTATCTCACTTATTGAACTTAATTCTGTTAGCAAGTTTATTAAATCATTCAATTAACAGTCGAAGGATTTATATGTTATTGAATTAATTTTAATTAATTTAATTAAATTAGTTAGCCAAGTTAGTGCCTCCGATTCGGCAAGTGTTAACTGTTGACTCAATAACGGGACGATTATCCACGCCGCGGGAATTCGTACGACTAAACGCGAGAAGCCCGCGCGAAAGAATAGTAATAGTTATATAGGGTCGAGATTTTTGAACGCGCATGTCTGACGCGTGCAACGCCTTACTACTGTACACTTCAGTCTATTCTCCGTTTTGTTCCTCTCTTATTCTTGTTCATTTTGTAAGATTTTACGTATCAACAAAAGCAAACAGAACGTACCGTAAGGAGCGCAAAAAGACTTAGTACAAATACGAGGAAAAAAAATCTTAAATGAAGAAAAAAACAAGTACGGCGAGAAAAGCCACTTTTACGACTCGGGGCAAACTTAACCAGGTGGAATGAAAAGAAAAGAAAAGAGTTTTTGTTGCTTGAGCTACAAACACTTGGTTGCAACCCTATTCTCACTTCCATTATGTGCCTTTTGATTTTTTTACCTCTATACCATCTACATTTATACAATCATACGTGTAGGTAAATGTATGGATAAACATTTTATTTACAGAGCTATGTTATTTCTTCACTGTAAAAATCTACGTTTGCATTCTCCAGGAACATAATCAACTATTTACACGGAAAAAAGTAAACTGTAAAATTCACGGATTCCGGTTAATTTTTATAGTTTCAAACATTGACGTGGCACAAATGTAAATATTGCACTGATATAGAAGGATTTATTAACTATTAATAATTTAATTTATTTGAAGACAATTATTAAATTTGAATAAATATTTTTTTAACTTTAATAAATATTTATTTGGGAGGAAAGTACATTTAATAAATATTTATTGAATCCTATGATGTTAAAAAATCATTTATTAACAGTTGATAAAGCTTATTAAATATAAACAAATCCTTCTATTAGTGTACAAAATTTAATGTAGAAAGTGTAAAAGCCACAATTTATAATTTAATATCGAAAATGTGATTAGTAGCTTTCACTATAGTTGATAACGATTTTCTTATCTTAAAAAATTACACACAGATAAAAAATTAACTTGACTCAAAATCTTGAACCAAGAATACCCATTTGAAGAAAATGATTTTCTTGAGTCAAGAGAATAAATTCTTGAGACAAAAAAAAATTTACTTATCAAGAAGAATTTCTTGATTCAAGAATTTATTCTCTTGACTCAAGAAAATCATTTTCTTCAAATGGGTATTCTTGGTTCAAGATTTTGAGTCAAGTTAATTTTTTATCTGTGTGTAATTTTTTAAGATAAGAAAATCGTTATCAACTATAGTGAAAGCTACTAATCACATTTTCGATATTAAATTATAAATTGTGGCTTTTACACTTTCTACATTAAATTTTGTACACTAATAGAAGGATTTGTTTATATTTAATAAGCTTTATCAACTGTTAATAAATGATTTTTTAACATCATAGGATTCAATAAATATTTATTAAATGTACTTTCCTCCCAAATAAATATTTATTAAAGTTAAAATTACTTAATTATTAAGTTTTTTTTTTTTTTTTTAATCAATTACACAATTTATTTTTTCTTAAAAAATGAATGAGCGTTATGAGGCGTGCACTTTTGGATTTTCCAAACTTTTTTTTTATTTTTATTATTATCAATCATTGTTATCCACGGTTAAATTTGTCCGTAAATTGGCGCTCTGCCACTTGTTATTTTATCTCGATAAAATTACCAACCAGCTATGAATGGCTCTATAAAAAACTAATTTAGCATGCAAACAAAAATATGAATTGATAAAATAATATAATATATAAAAAAAAAAGGTAGCATACTTTCTATTCGGGAAACTTTTTTCCCCAAAGGCCTCAAGGTTGCGACGACGGTAAGCCTGGATTTGTGTGTGAATGTGGTTAAGTCATTTATTTACCCAACAGTCTGATTTATTCCATCTGGAATTTTTCGCCAGCACTCATTTGTCCAACCAAGAGAGCGACTAGAGCTATCCGTGCGTACTTGAAATGAATAAATGTTTTTTTCTCTCGTACTCGGCACCGTCTCTCTAAAGGTTTTTCGCTATTTTATTATTTATATATCCTTTGAATTTTATTTTTTTTTTTATTTTAAATTTTCTCTTTTTTGTTGGAGAAAATTGCTGCTTGCTCGATTTTTCGAGATACCATTCGAGTGTCATTGTTTCGCTGGCTGAGAGTAAGTCCACTTCTCTTTGCTCTATTCTCTTTGTTTAATTTCAACTGCTAATATATACCTTGATCCATTATATACATTTAAATCTTTAGAGTTTGTATTTACAATTACAATGAATATGAAATTGAATTGATTCAGCCGTTGACTCGTTAATAATTATCATTGTCTCTAAAGATTTATTATCTCTTGAAGGAATTTCAGTAATTAATTTTTCCATGAAAATTGGCTCCATAAAAATGTATTGTTTTATTAAACAATAAAATAGAGCAAGGTCAGGTTGCATAATGACATTTGAAAATAACTATTTAAACAGCATTTCGTTATGTAATTAATTAATCGAATCGACTGGACCGAGATAGAGGGGAAGAGAATGAACATCAGAGTCCCATCGGCATTCAATTAACTCGTAAACTTTCAGTAGAATATCCAGAGTAATTGCGCATCGTTGCGGGACGCCTGTCGATGCCTGCATCACCAATGGATGGATAAAAGTTGAGGGTTGAGGGAGTGGAGACACAAAACACACTGCAGACTGTAGACACTAACGAGCCACGTCAACCAACTGTGTTTCCGTAGCGGGTTCCCGATAATATCCATTTGCACTGCTACACTAGACCCACCTGGCTAATCGAATTTTGTCATCTGAAAAACTTTTAATTATTATTTTGTTTAACTAATATTAAATAAAACTTTTTTACAAACTTTCTTTTTAGCTCCGGTCAAGTTGAAAAAGAGCTACCTTCAAGTATATATATATATATATATATATATATATATATATATATA